CCTTATGGGGCCACGAAGCGTGTTAGGGGTGCGCCAAAATGAGGCGGGGCCGCCATGCGAACCCTGCCACCGGGGCCTTCGGTGGAGCTCCCTATGTGGCCACGAACCGTGTGAGGGATGCGCCACGATGGGGCTGGGCCGCCATACGAACCCTGCCACTGGGGTTCTCGGTGGAGCTCTCTATGAGGCCACGAACGGTGTGAGGGATGCGCCACGATGGGGCGGGGCCGCCATGCGAACCCTGCCTCGGGGCCTTCGGTGGAGCTCCCTATGGGGCCACGAACCGTGTGAGGGGTGCGCCAAAATGGGGCGAGGCCGCCATGCGAACCCTGCCACTGGGGCCTTCGGTGGAGCTCCATTATGGGGCCACGAGCCGTGTGAGGGGTGCGCCGAAATTAGGCCGGGCCGCCATGCGAACCCTGCTACTTGGGCCTTCGGTGGGGCTCCATGATGGGGCCACGAGCCGTGTGAGGGGTGCGCCGAAACTAGGCCGGGCCGCCATGCGAACCCTGCCACTGGGGCCTCCGGTGGAGCTCCATTATGGGGCCACGAACCGCGCGAGTGGTGCGCCGAAATTAGGCCGGGCCGCCAGGCGATCCCTGCCACTGGGGCCTTCGGTGGAGCTCCACGAACCGTGCGAGGCGTGCGCCAAAATGGGGCGGGGCCGCCATGCGAACCCTGCCACCGGGGCCTTCGGTGGAGCTCTGTTAGCGGGCCACGAACCGTGTGAGCGATGCGCCATAATGGCGCGGGGCCGCCATGCGAACCCTGCCACTGGGGCCTTCAATGGAGCTCCCTATGGGGCCACGAAGCGCTGTGCTGGGTGGGTGAAACGCAGGGAGGAGGGAGGAGGGTGAGGAGGGTGAGGAGGAAGAGAATAATGCGGGGACCGTTACTTCAAAGCGAAGACCCAACACCACAGGACAGTTGGGAAAAATCGAGCGTGCGACACGCGTCCTGCAATTGCTGCGCTAGTAAGGCGATACTGAAGTCCGGCGCAGCGCGAGAGTCCCGAGCCCGGCGAACAAATCACCCCACGCTTTCCCGAGACAGTCAACAACTTGCAGCGCAAGTTCAGACGCGCCATCGCGCTGGGACCCCAACAGCGCGCACGCATCCCCGGGCGCAGGAGTCCACCAGCATTTTGGCCCATCGGGCCTCTGGGATTACATGCTAAGCACTTGCGGCCCGATAGGCTGCTGCTTGCCCGACCCCGAGCGCAACGTCGGGCCCATGGGAGCACTTCCTCTGACCGCGGGTAAACGAGCAGATGCAACCTCAGGCTCCCAGGGGCGCACGCGCAGAACCTGAAGGACGCTGGCGCTTGGTCCTGGGCATCCTATGGCACTTCCCCGGCACGGGCGCGCATGCAGCTCCGACGGGCCATCCCACAAGGGGACAATTCCACCACGGCCCAGCCACATCTCGTCGTCTCAGGCAACCCGCCGACCATGCCAGAACCGCCCGCATACAACTTACATCCCCAAGGTCGGCAAACCGCCCCCCTGTCAGACATGGAGCTCGGCTGAGAGCCGGCTTTGCATTCGGCAATTAGAGAGGGGGAGCCGTAGACCAGGTCATGGAAGTCGAAGTCGAGAGGAATGCCGAAGGCTATGTTTTCCTTCGGCCACACTCCCTTTTGCCCAACGACCTTGCCGCGGCGCGTGGCACTCGTAGAATTGCTGCCAGAGCAAGCGAACAGCAGCCTTGCGCACTCCCCGACAGGCGGCCGCATCGACCCGCCAAGGAGCGAACGGAGACAGGCTTCCCTAACCAGGCCCTTGACGCGCTGAACCCCTTAATCCAAAGGCTCTGCCCCAGACCGCCCCTGACCGCGCGCCTCGGGGATGCCCCGCGAAACCTGAACACGCCGGGCTCGATTCGCACCTTCCCGCAGCGCCGCGCGGGCTGGCAAGCGGCCGCCCAATTCGCATCGCAGCAGGCGCGGGGGCACTGAGAGGCGCTCGCGCACAAGACCGATGGGGCCTGAAACTGAAACTGCAATTGGCCGCCCCCAATGCCTCGCGCAGGACGGAGTCTGCGGCCAGCGGCCCCGCGCCCGGCAGCAGCGGCGAAACGCGAGAGGCACTACGGCGTCTACTACTGGATCGCACGACGGACCCCGGCGCGCGCACGTGCGCGGCGCGACGCGCGCGTTCGCCCGCGAGGCCAACGGCTGGGGAGCGGAGGCCTCTCGCGGTAGAGTCGGCGACCCCCGAGACCCCCGCCCCGCGGCCCCGGCCAGGCATTGGCCCAGTCCGCTGGAGCCCAGAGACCTTGCGACCTCCTGCCAGCCTCTTTAGAGCCAGCAGCTGGCGCTGCCTATCTTGCGATTTTTGTTCTTCGCGCAGCCCCCGTCGGCCTGCGACCCTTCCCGTCGCTGAGATCACGCCCTGGACTGCGCGCGCGCTGCTTGCGGCGAAAACCTTGTGCGCGCGCCGAAACCTCCGCGTGTTTGGAGGCCGCGACGCCCCTAGCCATAGATCCTTGCTTGCTTGGCCGCAGCAACGTCCAACTGGTGCGACCTGCCTGCCGGAGCCCCATGGTCGCGGACAGCCCCTGAGAGGCCCGGCTCGAATCCTCGCCTTGCCTCTGCAACGAAACGTCATCCATCGCGAGGCTGTCGCCTTCGCGCTCGGGAAGCGTTCGATCGCGCATGCGATCGGGCGAACCAGAGCAGCAGTCGCGACCGTGCGCGCCGCCGAGCACCCTGCGAGGATACCCTGGTAGCCTACGCATGGCTCTGATAAGGAACCGCAGGCCCCCAGCTCGGGGCGAAACCCCGCCACGCGGAATATGCGAGACAGGAGGGGCAATTTAATAATTTCATAGCACTTAACCATGTCAAGCATCACCGTTCCACGATGGCGATATTCGGCACGCGCCGCCTCTGCAATTAAATTCGAATCAGAATCTGAATCGCTAGCCCCCCCCCCGTTCCCAGCCCCCCAGAACTCCTCCGCGCGATTCGCCGCCGCTCGTCTGCGAGCGGCCGTGTCTGCCTGCCCCGGACACGGAGCATCGCGTTGAGCAGTGCAATGAGGCGGCGTGCTTGCCTGGCCCGACGGAGAGGCTGGCCAGCCTGCCCGTCAGCCAGACGCAAACCCTCTCGCGACTCGCCGGCCGTGCGAGGTCGAGCTAAGGGTAGTAAGTGTAGTATCTGTCGCTGCACTTGCCATGCGTACTGACATCATCCAAAGAAATGGGCCCAGCACAAGCTGCATCTTAAGCCACGGTTGCAATCGCAAGGTCGGTCTTCCTCGGCTCTTGGCGGAAATCGCAAGATTGGATCCGACACGCTTGACCGTCTCACAAATCTCCACGTCATCCTCGGGGACCGCAAAATCGACCGACCGCAAAGATGACCCGCACACGTCGGCGTCGTCCGATGATTTGGGGATCCACCCTGGCGAGCCTGGCGCATCCGCTGCGGCTGTCTGGCTCGGCCAGCTGCCTGCGGCGGCTCCACATGCCGCCGCTGTCGAGGCGCGGGCCTGGGCTGCCGCAGTTGCCGCCTGTGCGGCCCGACACTCCGTCTCGACACGGCGCGCCGCCTCGGCGTCGCGCACCTCGGCAGGGCACCCGTGGAGCCGCGCCGCAAGCTCCTCGGACCCGCCGGAGCGCCTTCGCGATGGATGGCTCAGATGTGTTGCCTGGTACCGGCTGCGGCGCCTGCGCCACCAACTGGCGCCGATTCTCCTCCAACTCGAGCAGCTCTGTGCCCAGCCGCTCGACCTGGGTGGCTGCCTCCTTCGCTGCACGCCCCGGTCTCCTCGACCTTGGCGCGCAGGGGTCCACGAGCTGCGACTGCTTCTCTCCGCTTCTCCAGCTTGCCACGCTGGGGCGACGTCTCCCTGAGCCTGTTTTCCAGACTCTTCCTCACGATGCGGCGCTTACGAAGCGCAGCCATGCGGCTCCGCAGCTTCTCTTTCGCCTCCTGAAGCTCCTGGCAGTCGCCTGCCCCGTCCAGCTCAGTCAAGTGCGGGGCCACTTCAGGCATCTCGCGTTTGCCATCCGAGGCCTGGGGTCCCATCGGCGGCGTGTTCGTCAACATCCATGCCGTCGCCGCTGCGAGCCCCTTGCTGGCTCTGCTCGCCCTTGAGCCTCGCCAGGTCCGCACGCAGTTTCTTCGCGAGAAGTTCACAAAGGTTGGGAGGCCCACCTCACCCGTGAAACACACGAGGCTTGAGGGTAGACGCTCGGAGTCGCCCATCTAGGTGGGAGCTCCCAGGGGCTATCAGGGAGAGCTGGAGGTCCATGGCGAGCAGGAGGTCCACTTCGCATAGGAAGACATCGGGTTTGAGAGTAGCTTCTCGGATTCGAGCCCCAAGGTGGGAACACTTAGGGCATAAGGGGGCCCCAGGGAGAGCGGAAGGTCTATTGAGAGGTTGGTTAGGTGAGAGATTTGGGGAGAGGGCAGGGATAAGAGCACGGCCGAGGCTGACGATGAGAGTGAAAGGATAAGCGGGGGTGAAAGTGATGACACTGGAAAGTGGACATGGTGAGAGTGCAGGCGAGGACGAGGATGAGAGTGGTGACGTTGAGAACGTGGGTGAGGATGATGGTGAAGATGGAGACGGGTGAGGATGCGTGAGGTTTAGGGGGGCTCTGGAGAAAATAGTGGCCCAACTCAGGGAAATCACGATGACACAGTATTGTGTTGAGTGTGTGTGTGTTGCTGTATGAGGCTTCTCTTGGCGCCTTTTCGGGCCTCGTGCGCCTGGTGCGCCTCCTGAGGCATCGTAGGCCGTCTTGGAAGCTTACAGTAGACACATGCGATAAGACATCTTACTATAAGAGATATTGCGGCACAATATTCGTCGACATGTGCGGGCCTTAAGGTGCCCCACAGCTTCTGTGGGTCCCTGTGGCCATCGAGGGATAAGAAATCTCTGCGGCGACCTGCTGACATGCCGAGTTATTGTTTGATGTGCCTACCGTACTGTTGCCCGTGAAGTCGGAAACACCATCTGGCACCCGCGACTCCTGGCAGCGTAGACTAGGATGGCATCTGGCTGCAATTTGGCCTCCCTTAGCTCTCCAAGTAAGCGCAACGCGTGCTGCCACTGTGAACCTTTTTCGCACGCGCTGACTGCTGCATTGTAGCTGACTGTGTCCAGCTCCAACTCCATGCTTATCATCCTGCTGTGCAAGAGAACTGCATGCTGCCACCGCCCAGCTTTCTCGCAAGCGCTGATTCCAGCATTGTAGCTGACAATGGGAAAACCAAAAAAGTACCAGTACGGCTACTCCCCGGACCTCTCCCGGGGTGCGTTCTGACCAAAATGTCGAGGCGAATCCAGCGGTGGCGACGAGAGCCTCCTAGGAGACCCACAAGAGTGAAATCGAGGCAAGGGTAGCAGTATGGGTACCTTTTCCTCCTCCGAGTCGAAATCTGGCCAGACCGTGCGATCGAACGCAGGGACCTACTGCGCTTCGACATGCTGCGCCATGGCAGAAGGGGGAGGGGCGCATCGTCGCGCGCTCGGCTCTCGAATGGGGAGGAGGGGAAACTTGTGAGAAGACAAGAGAACTGGAATCGGCCTAAGCAGTGTTTCTCATGTTCGTCCTGTTCTAGTTGTACCTCGTTTTGCCTTCGCTCCGCCTTTGCTGCAAAACGAAATAAAAACGAAAACGGCCCACGAAATCGCCAAAACACTGTTTAGGTCGATCTCTGCAGGAGAATGAATAGCCCATCAGCATGAATTGTCTGGCGGCTCACCGCCAGACTGGCGTTTCAAAGCCTTTTCCAGAAAGGCCCCTGCCTGGAGAAATCTCCAGATACCCTGGGGCCCCCAGCGTCCTGGAGATGCTCAGAGGCTAGCCCTGGCTTAGCCCTGGAGAGGCCTGAGAAAAAGGCTCGGAGAACTTCTGTCAATGTTGGTCTGGGGTCGTCAGAACACCCTGACCTGGGCAACCTTGAAGCCCTGACAATGGCATGCGCACATCGTTCCCAGCCGCCCTGAACTCTCCAGCACCCCCTAAGCGACCTCTCCTGTTTTGGGGCTCTCAGGCAGCGCTTCCAGACGAGAGGCATACCAACCTGTCTAGCAGCATTCAGTCTATTCTGGCCCACCTCTGGGTCCCCCCAGGAGACATGCCAGAGCCTGCCGAAGCTTCGCATCCTCAGCGCCCATGTCATGCGCGCCGCTCTCCACCGCAGGGCGCCCTTCAGATAGTCAACAAAGTCTGTGGGAAGTGTCGATCGCTCGAGCATTTTGCGATGGCATCGCCAAGCCAACTTGGCTAAATTCCACTAGCGCTGCAGCATTATGATCAAATATTTCAGTCGCATGCATACGTTTCAGATTCGGTTGGTTCCTATTGGGAGACGTTGCTCAGCGTGGGCTAGGCTGCAACCCGGATTCATTACGGATGAAGTTTAGCTAGAATTTGGCTTCGGTTCTTCAGGTGTTCGCTGGTTGGAATCTCGTCCGCCTCCCTAGGATGCTTCAGAGATTAGCCTAGCGACGGTTCTGAACCTCTGCAGCTGCGTGTAGGGCAGGGGGGGCCTCCTGATGTACTGCACGCCGCAGGAAGGAGGGGTGTGCTGAAATGGGTGAGACGGGACTCGGGACGGGGAGCGATCCGTGCGAGTTGTGTGTCCGAGCTACACAAAATAACCGCATTCTCGCACTCGCTCTTGGGCCGTGTGGATTTCCTGCGGGCCTCGGGGGGCACCGACCCGTGCGAGGGGTGTGCCGGAACAGAACATAGGACGCAAGTGGTCGTGCCCACTGGGGCATCAAACAAAGCTCCCTACATCATGGAGCACAATGCGTTGGACTGCATACGGGAGCGCCCCGTGGGGCCGAAGGTGGAGCTCCCTGTGGGGCACGATCCATGCGAGGGGTGTGCAAAAATCGGCGGGTGGATCGCATGAGAGCACGCCCCGCCGTTGCCGAGAGCGAAGCTCCCAAACTCTGGGGCACGATCTGTGCATGGGGCGTGCTAAAATGGTCGACACGTGTCTCCGAAGCGCCCGCACACTGCCGAGAAGAAGATTAGCAGCAGCGGCGGGAGCAGAAGGACACGAGTGGCCACGAGCTGCGCTCGAGCCTGATTCCAGCGATGCTGGGTCGGCAGCTGCAGCGTTCTTCCACTTGTTGTAGACGCGGAGGTGGAGGCGGAGGGATGAAGGAGGAGACGGCTGGCGCGCAGAGAGGACGCACATCGACAGGAGGATTAGAACAAAAGCCGAGCCGACCCGACCAAGCATCTGATGCCCATAATGGTTGCACGCGCGCGGCGCAAGATCTTAGGGTATGTAGCGTTGGGCTCCGATTTGGTCTGCCACATGCCACTCAGCAACAAAAGCGCTTGCTTCCACATGCAGCTTTTTTCGCATGCGGTGATGGCTGCATTATAGCAGGTAACATCTGGTTCCACAATCGCTTGCCCCATTTCGCCCAGTAGCTGCAACGCCCGCCACCATACCTCACCTATCCTGCAGGAGGTGATCCCCGCATTGAAACTTATGGTATCTGGTTGTAACTTCGTCTCCCTCAACTCGCTGAGCAACCAGAAAACCTGCTGCCACTGCCCACCCTTTTCACACGCGGTCATTCCAGAATTGAAGCTAATGGTGTCCAGCTCCATCGAAGCTTCGCGCATGTGCCTGAGCAGCGACAGCGCCTGCTGCCACTGTCCTCTTTCTGCGCACGCATTTATCCCAACATTGAAGCTGATCGTAGACGGCTCTATTTTCAATTTGGGCATCCCGCTGAGCAGTAGCAGTGACTGCTGCCACTGTCCGGCGTTCGCGCATGCAGCGATGGCGGCAGTGAAACTGATGTCGTTTGGCCCTAACTTCAATCCGCCGGCCCCCTCTTGCGGGTTCCATCAGGCTGCGGGATACAGATTTGACCACCTGAGCATCTTGGTTATTGCCAGTGCAGCTTGTGGGGAAATATACTCACCTTGTGTATCGTAGCAGAACTGTGCGCGATTCCGCAGCCATTTCAGATCTCAAGAACAGGCATCAAAATCATAATATCATTTCATGGTAGCGTGAGCTAGGCTTGATTTGAATTTCGATCCCGATTCGAATCCAAGGAGGAGCATCCACTAAGTAACCGTGGCTCTGCGATTACAATGGCGTCCCAAGAACAAATCCAACAGTTGATCGACGGACTGCAGCAGAAGGATCAGCAAATCAATCAATTAATGCAGCAATTGCAAACTCAGAATGCGAACATGCAGCAAATGCAACAGAGTCATGATCAAAACCTGCACAGAATGCAGCAGCAACATGAGGCCACAATGCAGGCAATGCAAAGCACCCTGCAACAGACATTCGAGAGTGTAGCATCATCTTCGCGCAGCTCGAAATCATTAGTTGACAACAAAGGAATAGGGAAACCAAACAACTTTGACAGCGACATGAAGAAATGGTCAAACTTCAGCTTCAAGTTTAAGAACTTTGTGTCTTCTGTTTTCCGGAGCGCTCGTGCTTTGATGGATTGGGCTGAGGAGCAGCAGCATGTAATCTCGAGCGCAATTGTTCAAAATCTGGCTCCCCAGTTTCCTGACGCAGTGGATTTCTCAACCCAGTTGTACACTACGCTTGCACAGATGACGGACGGCGAAGCGTGCGACATCGTCAAAAACACTCTTGCGGACCAAGGTCTGGAAGCCTGGCGGAAGTTGTGTCGCCGTTTCGATCCGCACACGGGTCAGCGTAAGCGTGCCCTAATGAGTTCGATTTTGCAGCCCGGTCAGTTTGAGATCCAAGAGTTATCTTCGAGCATCGAGCAGTGGGAAGAGAAGCTCCGCACGTACGAAAACAGAACACAAAAGAAACTCGACGACGACATCAAAGCCGGAATTGTTGTCACAATGTGTCCAGAACATCTTCAAAACCATTTGAATTTGAACCAGTCGAAGTTTGATGACTATTTGGACGTACGTGAGGAAATCATGTCGTATTTAGAGACGAAGCACGTTAACGCAGACACCCGAGGCACTCCGATGGATCTCGGCTCTGTCGGAAAACACGGAAAGGACGGAAAAGGTTGTTCCATTTGCGGGAAAATCAACCACAAAACTCATGAGTGTTACTTCCGCGATTCCAAAGGCAAGGGAACCGGCAACGGTAAGACCGGCACTCCTGGTGGGAAGTACGGCGGAAAAGGAGGAAAAGGCGGAAGTACTAGTTGGAATTCCAAGGGAGGCTCTGCAGGGCAACCTTCGCAGTTTTTCGACAAAAGTTCAGGGAAATACGGCGGTAAAGGCAGTGGCAAGGGTGACAAGTCCAGCGGTTGGAATACTAAAGGTAAAGGTTTCGGTAGTTACCCCCCGTGCAAGTGGTGCGGTAAAACTAACCATCATGAGTCAAAGTGTTTCTCGAGAAAGGGATTGCACGAGTTTGACGGCAAACAGCGTTCGAACGATAGTGGTCACAGTTTTCAGAGTTTCATGCATGACATGTTCAATAGGTGGCAATCGCAGCAAGCGCATCCACCGAGCAGCAGCACGCAACAGCAACACAGTTTAGGAAGCCAAGGTCCCATCATCTACGATGCAAGTGGGCAGCCCCTTGGTGGTCTTGAGCTGTGCGGCGTCGAGGCTGGCACCTTGAATCCTTTGAGTTCCGAGGGCCAGAAATGGTGGGCCAACGTAGGGAACCAGTTCGAACCGCTGAAACAAATCCATGAGAAATGGATCACTGTAGATTCGGGGGCTTCCGTTCCAGTTGTCCCTAAATATTGTGCCAGTGAGTACCGCACGACGCCAACTGAGGAATCTAAGGCAGGAGTTTGTTACACTGTTGCCAATGGTGCTGTTGTACCCGATCTAGGAGAAAGGTCCCCAAACGTTGTCACAGAGAACGGACTGTTGAAACGTATCCGGTTTCATGTTGCAGATGTCGATAAACCTCTTCTTGATGTGTCCGCAATCAATAGGAAAGGGTACCGTGTTGTTTTCGATGACGAGAGCTATATTCAAAACAAATACAACCCGTCAGAGATCATCCCCCTGATTGAAGAAAACGGCACTTACAAGATGAAAGCTTGGATCGCCCCGCCATCAATTGAAGAAATGGCGGTTGCACCTTCTCTTGCCCCAGCAGAGGACGGAGGAGGCAAGCCAACCAGTTTTCCACAGGCAGGGCCTGAACCCGTAAGACCTCAGGCAGAAAATGTTTCACCGGAAGGGCCACGGAGTGTGCCCCAAGCAGCTTTGGCGCAAAACTTGTTCTTCCCGTTAGCTGAAGACGGGGATGCCGGGGCGGACGTCTCAGAAGACCTCTCCGCACCTGCACTCAAAGCTCCGGCGCAACCGACTCAAAAAGAAATAGATGAGCACAATGCCGCACATCTTCCTTACAGAAACTGGTGTCGGCACTGTGTCCGGGGTAAAGGTAAAAGCTTGTTTCACAGAGCCCGTGGTTTTGAAAAGGATCACGAAATCCCTACAGTTTCGATGGATTACTTCTTTTTGGGAATGCCAGACGACGAAAGCACAATGCCAAACATCTGTTTACGGTGTCATGGAACCAAAGCTACTTTTTCACACACTGTTCCGTGCAAAGGCGTAACGCACCCGTATCCAGTCAAACAGGTTGTGCACGATCTTGATCTTTTGGGATACAAAAAATTGATTTTGAAGTGCGACCAGGAAGCTTCTATTCTGGCTCTTCGCCGCGAGGTCAAGGCAGCAGCAAACCTCGACGTGGTGATTCCAGAGGAAAGCCCTGTAGGAGAGCATCAGTCCAATGGTGTTGTAGAGCATGCAGTGCAAGAGTGTGAAGGGCAAATCCGTGTATTAAAGAGCCAATTAGAAGATAATTACAAAGTAGAGCTAGACAATAGACATCCTATCCTACCATGGCTAATCAATCACGCTGGTTTCTTAATCACTCGCTTCCAGGTAGGACACGATGGCCGCACAGCGTATCAAGCAATAAAGGGGAAACCATTTAGAAGAGAGTTGATTCCGTTTGGTGAGTGTGTCCATTACAAGCCAGCAAAGTTGAAAACCAACAAACTGGCAAAGCTCGCGTCCCGATGGGAAGACGGCATTTTCCTAGGAATCAAAGAGTCCAGCAACGAAGCGTATATTGGAACTTCTGACGGCGTCCTGACAGCGAGGTCAATCATGAGGAAACCTCCGTCTGAACAATGGGACGCTGAACAGTTGAAGTCGTTCCGGGGTCTTCCGTGGAAGCCGGTACCGGAAGGTGAAACCAACCAAAATGTAATGCCGAGAGCTGTTGTCATCAAGCCGGTTCAGGAGGACAACTTGCCTCCCCCGGCGCAGCCGCAAGAGGAGCAGCCTGTAGTGCATCGTAGGGTGTACATTTTGCAAAAGGACATTGCCAAGTACGGGTACAGTGCGACATGTCCCGGCTGCAATGCGCTAAGGTTGGGTCTGCCCCCTGTTGCCCATGATGAAGCTTGTCGTGAAAGGATCACCAAAGAGTTGGAGAAAACAAAAGAGGGAAGAGAGAGAATTCTCAAATCAGCAATGCGACAATGGAAGCAAGATGACAGCAATGCCAAGAAGCAAAGGACGGCTCAGCCGGAGGCACAACAGCAAAGAGACAAACGACCTCTGGGAGAAGACTTCCAAGTCGCAGCCAAAGCGAGTAAACCAAATCCAACAGAGAAGCGAAAAAGCGATGTACTTGAAGACGCAATGGAAACAGGTGTATCATCTTCGTCCGGCTCTGCGCAGCAACCGGCTAACCAAGAGCCCAATGACGTGCCAATGCCCGAACCGGAAAATCCGGCAATCGGCGCATTCTCAAAAGCATCCAAAGGAGATTTGTGTAGTCTTGCGCAATGTTATCGTAATTTTGGATTAGCTTCCACATCTAACGCCCAAGAGGTTTTCAAGGCTCCACGTGTTTCTGCACTGTCAGGCAGTTTTGGTTTGAATCCAGGCTTTGTTTCAGATTTTAGCGTACATGGTAAATGTAACAACAGAACAGTCGACTTCAGCAGTGCAGCTGATTTGAATGCAGCACGCGGGACCATACGACAGAACGAGCCGTTATTATTAATAACGTCATCGGCCAGCAACTTCCGAAACCAGACCCGGCATGCTAAACATGTTTCTTCGTGTGTCGACTTGCTCAGAGAGCAGAGCAACAGTGGAAGATATTTCCTCGATGTGCAACCAGAGTCAGCCGCTGTGCAGGGGCATCCGGCAATGCAGTCTTTGCTTCAATGTGAAACCTCGCGGAGGATTTCAAACAGTCATTTTGGCAAATTGCTTTCTTTCGTGACAAACAGCTCGTATCTTGCATCGGAGTTGAAAGCAGAATTGTCCAAGTCAAGTGTGTTCACATCAGTGTTTTCTCAACGTTTGGAGCTAGATGGAGGAATGCACATTTCGTCATTTCTGTCGCCGAGGGTACGTGCAGCTGTTTTGAGAGGATTCCGTGAGCAGTTGAAGGCAGACGGGAAAGCCTACCCGTTCTCAATTGGCACTGTCTGTTGTGAAGAGCCCAGTTTTGATTTCGACGAGTGGTCGTGTGAACAGGAAGTTTTTGATGACAACACAGGTGCTAAATTGCCAGAGCAACTCGTGAAAGAAGCAATGACGAAAGAAATCGACGAATACAAGAAACATGAAGTCTACGTCAAAGTCCCCAGATCAGAAGCATTTGAGGTCACAGGGAAACCCCCCATCTCAACACGATGGGTAATTGTAAACAAAGGAGACGAGACAAATCCAGAAATCAGAGCACGATTGGTAGCTAGGGAGGTGAAGCGAGACAAACGCACAGATTTGTTCGCAGCCACACCCCCGCTTGAGGCGAAAAAGTTTCTGTTCAGTCAGGTGGCAACCCAAAGGGTCCA